GATGCTGGAATGTGCGAACACTTCTGGAACCTGGTACTCAAAGTCTAACGGCACGCAGTCTCCATGACTATCACGTGGATCTTTGCTGCCTGTCGGAAGTCCGACTCCCGGACTCAGGCGCCCAAGAAATAAAAATCCCCGGAGTTGATTCTGACCTCACCCTGTATCACAGTAATCCATGTGACTCATCTGATAGACATAGTGTGGCTATTGCCCCCTCAGAACAAGCAAACAGTGCACTACTGACATGGGAACCAGTCAACGACCGGATGGCTTACGTTCGACTAAAGGGTCATTTTACGAACACCTTTGTCGTCTCTGTGTATGCACCGAAATCAGTGGCCGAACAGCGAGATAAAGAAATTTCCTACTCGCAGCTGCAGGAACTAGTTGAAAGACTTCCTCGCTGTGATCTGTTTATTGTCGCCTGGGAGTGGAATGGCCGGAGTGGACCCGATGACCCGTCAAACAGCTTGGGCATGGTTCTCGAACCGACAGTGGTGAGAGGATGCTGCAGTTTTCTGAACAGAATTGACTGTTTGTTACCAGCACATGCTTTCAGCATCGTCACAAACATCTACTGAACTGGTATTCAAACGACGGTCGTATCGTCAGTCAGATCGATTGCATTCTAGTTGGTTCACGGTTTCGCAGTTAGGTCCACGATAGCAGGTCGATGCGAGGTGCCGAAACTGGTAATGCCTACGGGCCTGACCATGCCCTTGTTCGCACGCGCCTGAAGGTTCACCTCTCATCTGCGCCCAAATTGCCACGTGCGAGACGCCTTGATGTCGCAAAGCTCCGGCACCCCAACAATACCGAGGCCCTAAGCACAGAAAGCCGGTCCCGTCTTACGACCCAAGCTGACATCGAAGACAGTAGCAGATGGTCATCACTGAAGACATCCATCTATGGGGCAGCTTAGAAAATTCTCGGATTAACTCAGCGGCGCCTCAGTGACTGGATCAGCGGAAGAACCCTGCAGCTGTCGGCCGAGACGACTTGAACCAGGTCCCGCAACTATGCTCCCTTCCGCTAACTC